TATATATATATATACAAAATATATATAATTTATTTATGTCTTTTTCTTCAAGTTTCAATTTGAAATTTTAACCAAAACTAACTCGAACTTTCACCAAATTCTCTCAAAATTGTGATAAAAACTCCAAATGATATTATCAATTGAAAAATCTAATTTTCAAATTCAAAGATTTGAACCTATTTAATGGTTGTTAAATGAAGCTTAAGCTTATGCCTTTACGTTGCACGCACCCAGATAAAGTTAAATTCACCAAACCTTTCATTTTTTTCACGCTTTCCACGTAGATTTAGTAATTACAGGATTCATTGCATACTCTTAGTTTGTTTGGCCAAGCTAACAAAATCACCTTATTTTGAAAAGTATTTTTTCCAAAAATATTTTTGGAGAGAAACACTTTATGTTTGGCTAATTAATTTGAAAAGCACTTATGAGCAATACTTTTGTTTGACCAAGCTTTTCAAAAAGTATTTTTAAGTTTCAAATCACAAATAAGAACATGAATAAATTTACTTAATAGTTAATATTATAAGTAAATAAATAATCTCAAAATTTTATTATTAAAGGCAATAATTAAATATTATTATTTTATTAAGTAAAATATAAAAATAAAATTTAAAAGTACTATAATTCTTTTAAGATGATTTAAATATGTTAAAAATTACTCAATAAATATAAAACATTCACTCCTTAACTCACTATATATGAAAGCTATCCTAAAAATAAGAAGAAATACTTGTATATTAATATTCTAAATATTAGGTTTAAAAGTAAGATTATTTTGGTATATACTATATTTTGTTAATGGTGTTTTTGGTAAGAAGAAAAGTCAAAACTACTTCTGCTTCTGGGGAGAAGCTACTTTTTTCTACTTCTCAGAAAGTACTTTTAAGTTTTAAATTAAAAATAAGGACATGAATAGATTTACTTAATAGTTAATATTATAAGTAAATAAATAATCTCAAAAAATTATTATTAAAGGCAATAATTAAATATTATTATTTTATTAAATAAATATAAAAATAAAATTAAAAAGTACTATAATTCTTTAAAGATGATTTAAATATGTTAAAAATTACTCAACAAATATAAAAACATTTACTCCTTAAGTCACTATATATTAGAAAGCTATCCTAAAAATAAGAAGAAATACTTGTATATGTTATAAGATAAATCTTATGGTGGATGTTTACTCCTCCTCCATGATTTTTACAAATGCTTAATGACATATTTTCTTCATTTTTCATGCCTATATAAAGGCCTTGTAATAAATAGGAAAATACACACAATTGAACAAGAAATAAATTCTCTTCCTTCTTTCTATCTCTATTATCTTGTTCAAGTTTATAGTAAATTACTTTTAGTTTTATAACACGTTATCAGCACGATTGTCACCTCTATTTTTCACAATCACATCCTAGTTGTGTTTGATTATCCTTCAGGTATATCACTATATATTTGTAAGGCCTCGTGAAAACTTGTACTCAAAACCGGGTAGCTCGTGGTGCCAAGTCCCGAATATATGTTAGGAATGTGTAAAATTAAGCGAGCCACGGTTCTGAACCTTTTGGTACTGATCTATGTTATAAAAAGTCAAGAAATACTGTTTTCCAAAAATGTGATTCTGTGCTCGAGAATGCGGTCGCATATCAGGTATGTGGACCGCATAATCGCCGCAAAGTGAGTCAGTGTGTTGGTCGAATTTGAGGTTAAATATGCGGTCCGATATGCGATCGCATAACCGATATGCGGACCGCATAGACGTCGTATATTTCCCTTGGGATTTTTGAGAAGGGCAGTTCTGCGGTGCATTATGCGATCGCAGAACGAGTATGCGGACCGCATTTCTGCCGCATACCCAGGCAGTGTGTTCAGATTTTGGGAGCATTCCACTCTGCGATCGCAAAGTGCAATCGCATACCTAACTCGGGCTCCTATTTTTCTAAATGTTAAACCCGACCCCTTCTTCAATAAGACACCTCAACCCCTCATTTTAACCTATTTTCTGAACAAAACTAGAGAGAGGGAAGAGAGAATTCTTGAGAGAGAAAGTCTTATCTCCATCAATTTGATTTTTCAAAGTCATCCAGGCCGGGAATTTTCAAGTAATTGTCTTCATCTCCGTTCTTGCAGGTAAAATCCCCAACCCTTTTTCATTTGTTTTCAAATTTAAACAAAAAGGGGGATTCTCATGCGTTGATTCTTGAAAATGAAAGTTGAAATACACATGCATGTCTCTTAAAACCTAGAATCTAGTAAGAGGAATTGAGTAGAAGTAAAGATTTGCAAAAGAGGGGTTGATAACCTAAGTAAGTTCGGGTTGAGTTTGTGAACTTCAATTCTAAGTTATATGTGTTAACTTGTGAACTAGATTGACGGTACTAGGCTGTTGGTGAATTGAAAGTAGAAGTTAAAAAGGGAATTCGACTCCAGGTATGTAAGGCTAACTTTAACCTTTGTAAAGTCACCTTGTTTGGTATATGAGTAATTGGTATGTGTTACTTATGTGGACTATTTGTGAATTCTTGTGATTAATATGCCTTGAATGTTGTTGGTTAAGTCTCCCGATATAATGGTGTAAGTAAATGGCAACAAATCAAGTGTGTGTGAATATGTTTATGTGGTAAGAGTTGTGTAACAAATGATGGAAAGAAATCGTAATTGATGCAATTGAAACAACTGTGGTAATATCATACGTGACTTGTCGCAGGCAATTATCGTTGTGACTTAAGTTGTGTACGGGCTGTTGCATATGATGGAAATGGTATTGACGTTTATGAAAATTCTTTGTGAATTGTTGTTGTTGTCGTGTGAAATGTGATTGTCCGGTGGGATCGGGTTGCGCGCCGCAATACGAAGTTATAAGGTGTGGGTTGTGGTGATAAGGGTGGCCGTGGTAATAAGGGTGACTGAGGTAATAAGGGTGGAAAAGTGATCGAAATCACTATTGAAATAAAAATATGTGAAAGTTGTGAAATCATTGATGTGATGAAATAATGTTGAAAGGGGAAAAGGAGAGATTGTGGAATTTGTTTGGCTTTGGTTGTTCCTTTCATGTGCATTTGATTGTTGATTCTATTACTGTTTGTTATCTGTGTATTTCTTGATTTTACTTGGGGTAAAGTTTGTTCATACATACCAGTACAATTCAAATGTACTGACGTCCCTTTTGCCGGGGGCGCTACATTCGTGTTATGATTGTAGGTGGTTCCATAACAGGTACTCCAGCCCACCGACAGTAGCACTCCTTCACCTCCCGTCAGCTGAATTGGTGAGCCCCTTTCCTCTTGGGGCCCTGCGTGGCTCATGCCGCTTATCCTCCCGGAATTTTATTTTGGTATTTGCGTAAGGTATAGCCGGAGCCTTGTTACCGGCAAGTATTGTAACACTCTTTTGTATCTCTAGAGGCTCTGTAGACAGGAAATGTAGGTTATGTACTTATGTATTTTGGGTAGTATAACTTGTAAACCACGCTAAGTAACTATGTATGTTATGTAAATCTCGTAAGAATGTGTTTAAATTTATAAATGGATAATTCACTTAGTTAATGGGTAACGGAAACGCAGGGTATCACGTGGAATAGGAAAGACACCCAGGTCCGCTTGGCTGGGGGCTATCCGGTCGAGCGTCGGTCGCGCCCCTCGGTTTTTGGGGCGTGGCAATATTCTTTTGGTTTATGGTAATATATATGCACCAATATGCTATTTATTAACAAATTCATATACTAAGCATTTATTTTAGTTGATCATGTTACAGAAGTTCTCTTATCTTGCTTATTGTTAAAGAAAATATAAGATATAGATCTTAAGTGTGTTAAACTAACAAAATAAAATAGTGATAACTAAGGTGGCTAAATAATAATTGTACATACTAGTTTAAATTGCTTTACAATTGGTGGAAAGTAATATCTGAATATATTCACTCTTATCACCATATATGGTTATTCCTCAAGTCCTCGTTTATAATAAATTACTTTTCTTTTACCATAGTGAATATATCTGTTTGTGTTTATCCATATACTATATAATTCTTGTTTATTTGACATATATATTGTATGTTACTTACATTTTTATTTATACTACATGTTTGAAGTGATCAACTTCTTAATTAGTTGTCTGATTTTTTTTAGAAGTATATTTTCATTGAAAATTATTTTTATTCTTTCTAACCCATTTATTTTGTGATTAGTTTCAATATGTCAAACTTGTCAAAACTTGAATTCGTGGCACTAGACATTACCGGAAAGAATTACTTATCATGGGTCCTTGATGTTGAAATTCACCTTGCTGCAAAAGCTCTTGAAAATACTATTATACAAGGAAATGAAACATTAAGCCAAGATAAAGCAAAGACTATGATTTTTCTTCGTCATCATCTCGATGAAGGATTAAAAACTGAATACTTAACCCTAAAGGATCCATTTGAACTATGGAGCAGTTTGAAGGAACGATATGACCATCTTAAGGCAACGATATTGCCAAGAGCTAGATATGAATGGATTCACTTGCGGTTAAAAGATTTTAAAACTATAAGTGAATATAATTCTGTTATATTCAGGATAACTTCTCAACTTAAATTATGCGGGAAAATTGTGAATGATGAGGATTTAGTAGAAAAGACTCTTTCTACCTTTCATGCATCAAATATGGTATTGCAATAACAATACCGCGAAAAGGATTTAAAGAAATATTCTGAATTAATCTCTTGCCTCCTAGTGGTTGGGCAACATAATACCCTTTTAATGAAAAATCATGAAGCTCGTCCTACTGGTTCTGCACCATTTTCTGAAGTTAATATGGTAACAACCACTCAAAAGTCTGAAAGAAAACAAAATTATTATCGTGGTCATGGTCGTGGCCATAGTCGGGGGCGTGGACATGGAAGGGGGCAAAATAATTATCGTTGTCATGGTGAAAATAAACAAGAGAACAATAAGAATCCTCAAAATAATCCTTTAAAAGGTAGAGTTAATAATTGTCACAGGTGTGGTATAAGAGGTCATTGGGCACACATTTGTCGTACGCCAGATCATTTTGTCAAACTTTATCAAGCCTCCTTTAGATTGAAAGAAAATAATATGGAGGCACATTTGACCTTTCAAAATAATGATGAAGAAGCAGGCCCCTCAAACAAATATGATTCTGAGGCATATCTTGCATATAAAGATGATAATTTTGGAGGCCTAACAAATATTACTCATTTAAAAGCTGGAGACTTCTTTGAGAATATTGACTGAAGAACTAATCATCTTATTGGGGAATGAAGGCTATAAAAAGTTGTCATTTTTTATGTTTGCAACTAGTTTATTTTTCTTGAGTGTGTTTCCTAATGCATCATGTGTTGCTAGTCTCTACCTTCCTAATGTAATTTTTAATGTTTTTTTTGTTTGTCTTTCATATTTCTTATAATGTACTTTTTGATTTTTTTGAAGAATATAAAAATTTCCCAGTCTTCAGTTGGACTCAAGATTAATAAAGATGATATATGTCTTCTGGATAATGCTACAACACACACTATTTTAAGAGATAAGAGATATTTCTCTTATTTGGTAATGAAAGAAGCCAATGTTAATACAATATCCGATAGTACAAGATTAATTGAAGGTTCTGGAAAAGCCAATTTATTACTACCAGGAGGAACAAATTTGGCTATTGATGAAGCATTATATTGTAGTAAATCTCAAAGAAACTTATTAAGCTTCAAAGATATTCGCCAAAATGGATATCACATTGAGACTACAAATAATGAAAAGATTGAATATCTTTATATTACTACAATAAATTCGGGTAAGAAATATGTGCTTGAAATGTTACCTGCTCTTTCCTCTGGCTTATATTACACAAGTATTAGCAGGATTGAAACACATGCCATAGTAAATGAGAAGTTTACTAATCAAGATAATTTTATTATTTGGCATGACCGGTTGGGTCATCCTGACTCTACTATGATGCATAAAATAATTGAGAATTCACATGGACATTCAATGAAGAACCAAAAGATTCTTCAATTTAAGGAATTCTCTTGTGCTGCATGTTCTCAAGGCAAATTAATTATTAGACCATCAACGATTAAAGTTAAGATGGAATCCCCTATATTCCTGGAACGTATACAAGGTGATATATGTGGGCTCATTCACCCTCCATTTGGACCATTCAGATATTATATGATTTTGGTAGATGCATCTACATGATGGTCACATGTGTGCTTACTATCAACTCGCAATATGGCATTTGCGGTTGTCTCAAATAATAAAGCTAAGAGCACAATTTCCAGATTATGCAATTAAGACAATTCGTCTTGATAATGCCGGTGAATTTACATCCCTAACATTTAATGATTATTGTATATCAACTGGGATGACAATTGAGCATTTGGTCGCTCATGTTCATACACAAAATGATCTAGCGGAATCATTGATCAAACGCCTCCAATTAATTGCTAGACCAATGCTTATGAGAACAAAACTTCTCATTTCAGTATGGGGTCATGCTATTTTGCATGCGACATCACTTGTGCGGATAAGGCCCACAAGTTATCATAAAGTCTCCCCATTGCAATTGACTTTTGGCCAGGAGCCAAATATTTCCCATCTTAGAATCTTTGGTTGTGCGGTATATGTTCCAATTGCTCCACCACAACGCACAAAGATGGGCCCCCAAAGAAGGTTGGAGATATATGTTGGGTATGAATCTCCTTCTATTATAAAATATCTGGAGCCTATGACTGGAGATTTATTTACAGCGAGATTTTTTGATTGTCATTTGATGAATCAATATACCCAACATTAGGGGGAGAAAATAAGCAGCTGAGAAAGGAGATAGATTGGAATATATTATCACTATCTCATTTAGATCCTCGAACAAATCAATGTGAACAAGAGGTTCAAAAGATAATTCATTTGCAAAATATTGCAAATCAACTGCCAGATGCGTTCACTGACCTACCAAGGGTGACTAAGTCATATATTCCAGCTGCTAATGCTCCAGTTCAAGTTAATATCCCGGTAGGACAATCAATTAAAGAAAATGAGTTTAAACTACGCTTGAAACGTGGTAGACCAGTCGGTTCTAAAGATAAAAATCCTCGGAAAAGAAAAGGAGTAAATGATCAAAGTGATCATAATACGGAGGTAGTGGCCCAATAAGAGCACATAGACATAACAAATGATAAGACCTCAAGGGAGGTTCAGGTACCTGAAAATGATGATGATGGAGAGATCTCAATAAGTTATGTCTCAACGGGGAAAAGATGGAACCGAAATAATATTGTTATTAATAATGTTTTTGCTTACCATGTTGCTATTGAAATAATGCAACAAGATGAGGATCTTGAACCAAAATCTGTCAATGAATGTAGACAGAGAGATGATTGGCCAAAATGGAAAGATGCTATCCAGGCAGAATTAACTTCACTTGCGAAACGTGAAGTTTTTGGACCTGTAGTGCTTTAAGCCTGTTGGATATAAATGGGTCTTTGTACGTAAAAGGAATGGGAAAAATGAGGTACAAAGATATAAGGCACGTCTAGTTGCACAAGGATTTTCACAAAGGCCCGGTATCGATTATAAAGAGACATATTCTCCTATTATGGATGCTATAACATTTCGTTATCTCATTAGTTTTGCTGTCCATGAAAAGCTTGACATACATTTAATGGATGTGTTTACAGCCTACCTTTACGGTTCACTTGATAATGAGATATACATGAAAATTACCGAGGGATTTAAAATGCCTGACGCACATAATTCAAAGTCCCGGGAAATGTTTTCAATCAAATTGCAAAGATCTTTGTATGGTCTAAAGCAATCAGGAAGAATATGGTATAACCGCCTTAATGAGTATTTATTAAAGGAAGGTTATATAAATGATGCCATTTGTCCATGTGTTTTTATAAAGAAAACAACATCAGAGTTTGTTGTACTTGTTGTATATGTTGATGACATAAACCTTATTGGAACTCCTACAGAACTCCAAAAGGCAATTGATTATTTAAAGAAGGACTTCGAGATGAAAGATCTCGTAAAGACAAAATTATATCTTGGTTTGCAAATTGAGCATTTGGCAAATGGGACTTTTGTTCATCAATCTGCCTACATAGAAAAGATATTGAAATGATTTTACATGGATGAAGCACATCCAATAAGTACTCCGATGATTGTGCGATCACTTGATGTAAATAAGGACCCATTCCGACCTCAAGAAAAGAATGAAGAGCTTCTTGGTCCTGAAGTACCATATCTTGGTGCAATTAGTGCACTAATGTATCTTGCTAACTCTACAAGGCCTGACATAACTTTTTCAGTTAATGTCTTAGCAAGATATAGCTCTGTTCCTACAAGGAGACATTGGAATGGAATCAAACACATATTGCGGTATCTAAAAGGGACTGCCGATATGAGATTATTTTATGGCAATCATTGCAATCCTGATCTTGTTGGTTATGCGATGCTGGGTATTTATCTGACCCACATAAGGCTCGATCTCAAACAGGCTATGTGTTTACATGTGGAGGCACTGCCATATCTTGGCGATCGACTAAGCAATCAATCGTGGCTACTTCATCCCATCACGTTGAGATAGTTGCTATTCATGAAGCAAGTCGAGAATGTATATGGTTGAGGTCTATAATACATCTTATTTGGGACAAATGTGGTTTGAACTGTGACAAATTACCCACAATTTTGTATGAAAACAATGCAGCATGCATAGCTCAATTGAAGGGGGGATTCATAAAAGGAGATAGGACAAAGCACATTTCACCAAAGTTATTTTTCACACATGATCTTCAAAAGAATGGTGATATTAATGTGCAACAGATTCGTTCAAGTGATAATATGGCTGATTTGTTCACCAAATCTCTACCGACGTCAACCTTCAAGAAACTAGTGTACAAGATTGGAATGCGAAGGCTCAAGGATGTGAATTGATGCTCTCATCAGGGGGAGTTAATACGCGTTGTACTCTTTTTCCCTTACAAGGTTTTGTCCCACTGGGTTTTTCTTGCAAGGTTTTTAACGAGGCAACCAAAAGATGTATTTCTAAACATGTGTACTATTTTTCCTTCATTAGGATTTTTTTTCCCATAAGGTTTTTCCTAATAAGGTTTTAACGAAGCACATTATCTATGGACATCCAAGGGGTAGTGTTATAAGATAAATCTTACGGTGGATGTCTACTCCTCCTCCATGATTTTTACAAATACTTAATGACATATTCAATGACATATTTTCTATGCTTAATGACATATTCAATGACATATTTTCTTCACTTTTCATGCCTATATAAAAGCCTTGTAATAAATAGGAAAATACACACAATTGAAGAAGAAATAAATTCTCTTCCTTCTTTCTATCTCTATTATCTTGTTCAAGTTTATAGTAAATTGCTTTTAGTTTTATAACAGTATATTAATATTCTAAATATTAGGTTAAAAGTAAGATTATTTTGGTATATACTATATTTTGTTAAGGGTGTTTTGGTAAGAAGAAAAGTCAAAACTGCTTCTGCTTCACGGGAGAAGCTATTTTTTTCTACTTCTCAGAAGCTACTTCTGCTTCTTCCCAAAAGTATTTTTTCCTTCAAAAAGCTTGGTCAAACACCTTAGTAGCCTGTTTGGACAAGGTTTTTTCTTGGCCAATATATTTTTTTT